TGGAGCTCCTCACCCAGCAAGCAGGGATTCTGCATCTTGTATTCCAGGCATTATACGTGGAGCTAATGTGCCTAATTTGAGGCTTTAGATAATACTACAGAAGTAGGTGCTTAATCCTTCTTTGAATCTGGGCCAAGGTGTTCTGTATGTCCAGGGACTGAAATAAGATATGAGGCTGATGAAGATGTCAGTGGATTGGCAGGCCTTCGGCGGTAAGCAGTCACGATGCAGATGAACAGGGCTTTCTTGCTGACATAGGCAGAGATCAAACTGTTGGATTTAGGCTTAAGTAAGATACGCAATAGACTTCAGCGACAATACTTGGAAGTAAAAATACCACCTTATCCCAAGACTTAGGCTGTGCAAGTCAGGAGTGATTGCACTGATGCTGTCCTGTGAACTTAGATGAGTCAGACAAATCACTTCTCAACGGCCACCGGGCATTACAAGATGGATTTCTGCATTCTACAGAAAGTAGCAGGACAGCATACGCCCATTGTCACCTTTTTCCAAACAGCAATATCAGAAGGAGCAGGTATGTAAGAAAGTGAATTACAGGGTGACAGTATCTTAAAACAGACTAAATGGCACTTAGATGTGAAATAACAGAGTATCCGTTTTACAGATTTTTTTTTTAATAGAGCCATATTCAAAATATGGCAAAGGTACAAGTTAACTTTCTCTCCTTACCAGCAGATACCAGCACAACCGCTGTGAACAAACTCATTTCCTCATCACTAAGTTGCAGGGCATTTAGTTTCTCACTGAACTCAAACATGGAGTTGAGGAGGTCCCCAGCTCCCATGGAGTGCAAGTCGTCCACGCTGTACTTCCTGCCGCTGAGGAAGGTGACGGTGCGCTCCTTCGCGTCGAACAGAGAGGCAAACCGCACCATCAGAACCTGGGCCAAGAAAAAACAATGACACCAGATAAATGCAGGTGCATTTCTAGAAAAGCCAAGAAAAAAAATGTAACCTTTTAATGTCATTCAAACTGTCCCATTAACTGCTGCATAAGCGTTCCATACCAAAACTGTCAGCATGCTACTGAGCTGTAAAGACCAGTGCAAGGTCTGGCCCAGTAATCTGAGAGACAAATCATGGAAAAGAACAGCGAGTGGATGCAGGGGAGCAGGCTACAGCACATGAAAGGCAGGGAAACTAAAATTTAAGCCTCAGACGGCCTGAGCCACAAAGACAATGCCATTCATAAATATGCCAGTAGGACAACTTGCTTAAGCCACCAAACAGCCAAGGGCACACACAGCATTAAAAGAAATGTTTTCTTGGCCACACATGAGGAGCAAAACAAAGGTACCGAACAAGGTTCTCGCTTGGCGCAAACTGGAGCAGCTCCACTGAAACAATGCTGATTTACACCACCTGATGATCTGGCCCACTACGCATTCTTTGGGAAAGTACCATGCCATGGCTGTAACCACAGGAATGTTAATGAGCTCTGGCAGAAAGGAGCCACATGTATGGCCTTCAAAAGGCTTGGGAAGCAGGGCTTGACACAGCACCTGGTTTGTAGCTGCAGCTGGGAATACCCCCTTGGTATAAGCACCTGGGCTGGAGCAGTTGACATGTGCTGAACTTACCCCTCTGGGCTGAAATTTCTCTTGTGGTTTCTCAGTCGTACTGTGAAATTTTTCCCTCTGGAATGGCTTGTAAAGTTTCATTTGCTCACGTTCAACAACCTTATTTACATTTTCAAGGTTTAAGCTACACAGAACAGCCTTCTTATTTGGAGAAAATGAACCAACTGGCACTGGTTAAGACTTCAGCTTTGCTGTAATCTCTTGGTGGGACAGTCGCCTCTTCTCACCCTATGTAACTACACTCATTTAAATGTTTACTACAGATTAGAGAGCCAGATTTTCAGCAAAGACTAGTGCCTTTGACAAGCTTAAAACGGGAGGGTTAAAAAAAAGAAAATGTTTGAGAGTTCAAACACTATTCATGCACATTACATGATCTGCTCCTAAATTTTAACAGCCAAATGATAGGCAGTCATCTTGACTGACAGAGGAGCACTACGTATTATTCACCTTTGTCAGCTAAGCTGTATGTCCTTTGACAACATGAACTACAGAGTGCAGCAACCCTGGTGCAGAAGCCCTCAGAATACGACGAAAGGAGACAGAGCAGACAGACAAAGCTGAACCTGTGCATTAGCAGGCACTCACTAGGTACTCAACAACTTTTCACTTCAAAATGGTATTCCCCTAATAGAACTGGGCTTTAGAAACATCAATTTTAAATGATGAGCAACCAGTATTAACACTGGTATTCAAAACTGAAGCCCATAAAGCTATGGTGACTTACTACTAAGGCAAAAACCTCACCTAGGGATTTCAATGTCACCACTCTAACCCAAGGAAGAACAGTTCAGACTGTGGTATAGCATATGACTGATTCATCCCATTTCACTTCAAGCTAGACTCCTATTTGTGCACACTGATAACCCTATCACCTGACCATAGCAATATAAGCCCACCAAAACTGCCACACAGGCAACTGCTTGTCCACTTCTGCACCACCTGCAGCCAAATTACCAAGTTTTGTAAGTCTGTGGAGAAACTGAGTTGCTACCTCAGTGGATCCAAGGGGCCTGTTAGCTCTACCATCAACTACATCTGGAGTGGGGACTTCTGGAGGTGAGGGAGGACCTGCTCAAATCTGCAGTTTCTGAGCTGGCCCAAATACAAAGCCATGAAAGTATCACTAGCACATACTGAGCTCCCCAGTACTCCCAGCTTTAAGAGGGCTTGGCTTTCCAGCTTACACGTGTAAATACACACAGCTACGCTGCTTCTGCACCAACATTGTCTCCTTACTCCCTGACAAAAAAACTCTCCTTGAACATGAGGTGCTGGTAAGCACAGTGCCAAGGCAGCCACACACTGGTGCTCAAGAGAGCCAGAACAGGCTCAGAGGCAGCACTTTCACTCAGGTCCCCCTATTAACATGCAGATGTTGGGATGTCCTAGTTTAGTTACCCAGCAGACAGAAACGACCTTGTATGCACCAGACTTCCAAGATGCTTTTGCTTCTATGGCAATGGTTTCCTTAATCCTGTGGGTTTGGATTTTTTTTCCCCACTGCTCTGCAGCATTATTTTTTTGTTGTTGTTGTTTTACTTTTCTGTTGCCAAGATAGGCCTTTACAGGTACCAGCTCACTAACAGAAATCATTGATGTTTCTTTTATTTATAAGTGAATAGGGATAAGCATGCAGCCATACATTACTATTAATTCCCCTGGATCTAGAAACCTTCCTATCAGCAGTGCTTGTAACTGGCAAAAAGGCATACAAATGAGGCTTGAGAAAAGTCTGAGGTGAATAGAGGCCAAGACAAACCATCTTACTTGAAAAACATGAAGGTTTGGCTTTACTCTACAGGATGAGTCCAAACCCCATTTCCCACCCCCCTCAAGGACACTGGACAGCACACCACTCAACAGAGGAAGGAACCAACATTTTTGTGTAATGTGAACAGCAATTTAAGAGGCTGTAGCTGAAAAAATTAAAATACAGCCCTTAGCTACAGCAGTTTTAGGTGAGAAAGGTCAAGAATAATGGCAAAAAATACATCATGGGAAAATGGAAGGAAGAGAGAAGCTGACACACTTCAGGCACCAAGTCTTCCAGTATAACCTGTACCTTCTTACCCTGCAGTTACCCATTTTAGAAGTGGTCTGTATAAACGCAGATAAAAGACCCAATGTATTACATGAGAAGTATCTTCAGTTCACGTAAATATGAAAACTAGCATCCCTCTTCGAAAGAATAAATGAAGTAAACAAGAGCATAAGCATCACCAACACTGCCCTCCCCAGAAGGACAGTAACATTGAATACTTGGGACTTCATCTCCTCTGGTCCTTTATGTTTAAACTTCACATCTGAATACCTATAAAATGTGCACGGTCTCCAACACAGAAGAGTCTCGAAGAGCCTGCAACTAAAACCTTAAGTAAAGGTCCCCTGGTGAAGGTCACTAATTATAAAAGAGCACTGAGCTCTCTGGTATCATTCCCAATTTAACACCACTAATTCACACACAGGTCATGCCTGCAAGTGGGTGAAATTAACCACAAGGACCTGCTGGGATTAATCTACAGTAAGTCAGGCTGCAGCTGGTACCTGGTGTCTACAAAGCTGAAGCAATGCAGCAATCAGTGTCTGCTTTGAAGATGGAGGCTTCAGCAACCCCCAGCTGCCACCAAAGGCTAGTGGTGACTGATCAGGATGGATGCTCTGGCTTTGGCAGGGAACACGGTGCCAGAAAGAAGGACATACAGAGAAATAAACACATTCCTCTACAAAACTCAGTAGTCATAGTTTTCTGAACTATCCACCCTTCCAGATGCAGTCTGCATCTCTCCAGGCTAAACAGAGGTAGCTATCAGATGTTTTGTATAAGCTCTGCTATACAAAATAAAAAAAAACTCATTTATCAGTGCCCAAGGAAGAGGAAAGGGTGAAAGGCCTGAGCACTTCTGAGCCACTTGGAAGACAGACAACTCACCAAGATTTGACCAAAACAGAAGCACTGGAACACCATCAGCTTAAAGAAAGCTCAGAGCTAGCATCCACGAACAAGCTGGTTTTGCCTGATGTAACCCAGTTCTATAACCCAGTTCTATTTATTTTTGTTCTTAAGGGAGTGAAGACTGATGCACAGCTGGTCAGGTTTGCACTATACACACTGGTCTCACCTCAAAGGTCCCAGCCTTCAGAAGATTAACCTGGTCATGCTGGGAGAGATCTCGGAAACCTGGGATGCGCTTGGCAAACTCCACCACTTCCTTCACTGCAGGGGTAAAACTCAGGGAAAACTCTTCCCAGACTTCATGGCCAGACTTGTTTGGGTCCACGTGGGGAGTCTTACTCATTGGGCAGACCTAATGGTTAAAAAACATAGGCAGAAAGCAGCTCTTAAAGATGTATTTCCAAATACTGGCAAATATTTGAAAGCAGCAGGTTTATTCTTCAAGAAAACTTTGCAATAGTGATGCAGAGAAAAAAACACCAGCACTCCTCAGTCAAATCCCAAAGCAACTGGACTTCTCACCCTCCCTTTAAAGCAAACACACAATAAAAACCCTATGGCAGGTTATTAGCAGCCTGTTTCTAAATTTACTGACCTTGGAAACACCAACACTGTTTATAGCTAAAACCTTGAGAGAAACTAGGTTATGCCATTCTTCCCTGATGTCACTCATGCCTGACATCTGGATTTCTCTTACTTGTACTATCCCTGTAATTTCACAATTAATCATGATTTCACAATCAATCAACTGTAATCTCACAGTCACTACTACATCCATTCTCATATTCCTTCCTTGATTTACAGGTAACTGAAGTGATTCAGTCAAGGTGACAAAGGTGTCAACACCAGAACAAGGCATGGAGCCTTGGTTTCCTGAGTCACAGGTTCACACCCTCATTACCAGAGCAACCTTCCTCTCCTACCTGTTTGCTTTTATTTGCATTACTGAAGGAGGGCCCAGGAACTGGTATTCCCATTTTGCTCAGCCACAGGAAGACAAAACTCTCTTTTATACAAATGTACAGCGATTTTTCTGTAGAGAAGTCTGAATCCATTACAATAAGATCAGACATATCAGCCAAGGCTGACTGCCAGTAAATTCCCTCTGTAAAACCCAACCAGATGCTCCGAGATACTTTCAGTTCTGCTTTCTAGAATTTATATCTTTTAATGAAGTTTAAACCTTTTAAAATTCATTTCACCTGTCACCATCAAGGACAGGAATCCCTGTAAGTATTCCTCACAAGTATACTAAACCATGTATGTAATGCTACATAATGTCACCATAGCACAGATAAAACAGGGCAACTGATTTAGTAATTCCTTTAGAGCTATGCTGCTCTTGCAGGGCATCTTGCATCTGATAATTTCCTAGTAACTTTTTGCATGGAAGGCCCTAAGATGCATTAGCTGTATCTACTACAAGAACATATTCAACAAGTACATACACACGTGTGTAAATGTTTGGCTGAGCTACATTTCTGGTTTGTTTAGGTTTTATTTCCCCCCCCAAAACATCACTTACTAACTTTGTGGTCAATATGTAGAGCTCCTTCCAAGAAACAAGGAAGAGAATTGCCTATTTCTTGGTTCAGCTGTAAATCACGTGTCTGAGGACAATGCCCAAACCCAAATGATTACTTGGGGGCAGAAGAAGACCTTTTCCATTAAACTGGAAGTCATGAAGTATTTTGACAAATGGAAAGGTTTAGGCATACAACCAGAAGCATGGCAGACATTAACCACTGCTCTGCCCGTGATACTGCAACGGTTCACACAGGTCTTGTTAAAAACACAGTATTCTGAAGTAAGGCATCTCTAGTTCAGCACCATGCTCTGAATTGGACACAAAAAGTACCTCAATGTCTCATCTTAGAATGGCTTACCCTAACCCTCAGCCACTCAGTCCCAAGGGGAAACTGCCACTTTCACCCCTCCTGCGTTATATGACCAAGCTCTCTCTCGAGACCTCTGCGCAAGAGTCATTGAATCAGAACATCTCAAGTTGGAAGTTCTACTCCCTGCTCCTTGCAGCACTACCTAAAACTAAACCAAATGACTAAGTGTCATCCAGATGCTGCTTGAACTGATAGGCTTCCTGTGGAAGCAGTCGTCAGCTCGTTCAGTCACTGGCTCTCTTCAGAGGAACCTCTTCAGGAATGACCTGTTCTGCTTTCTGGTTGTATTGAGCAAAAAAACCAACCCCCTAAATATCTCTCCCTGTACTGGGTCAGAGCCTAATTACACTCCCTTACTGTTACTGACTCATTTCGGTCAGATCCTGCTCTCATTGAGTTCTCTGGCAAAATCCTCACTCGTGTCAGGGATGCAGGGGGGGCTCAAGTGCCCTGTTGGATTCGGTTTTGCTTCCTCCTCATCAGCTGTGTTAAACCTGCCTGCAGCTGCTATGCACAGGTCAGACTGACTGGCTGGCTGGGCCTCTGCACACAGAGCCACTCCCTGCCTGCCCATACAGACAGGTTTAGCCCCTGCTTCTCAGGAGTGCCAAGAATGCCACTGTAGTGACTCCACACACTTTCCCTGCAAGGAAGAAAGCCTGGGAATGATTATTGTTTGCCATGGTGTAGTGCCCGGAGTCTCCAATTAAGGTCAGAGCCTGCTAGGGATGGCATGGTCCACATATGCCATAGCTGAAGAAAAGAAACAAAGAAACCCACAAAAAAATCACAAGGAAAAAAAAAAAGCACATAGATGCACAAAAAAAAAAAAAAAAAAAAAAAAAAGAAAAAAGAAGAACATCCAAACAAACAGAAACCACCCAATCCAAAACAAACAAGAAATCCAGCATCAAAACAAACAGTGGTTACTGTGTGGAGGCTGTCAGGGGCCTTCAAGAACCTGTGAAGAATCTTTACAAACTAGGAGAAAGAAAAACACTGGCAGCTCAAGTACTTCAGAAGGGTCAGGTGCTCACACTTATCAACAGGACCCCAGGATGAGTATGAGGATGTTATGTTCTCTCATCCCAGGTGGTTCCAATGATAAAGAGAAGGACAATCTATTTTAAGGGGCTCACAGAACCGGTTGCCTGAATGACAGAGAAACAGTAAAGTGCAAGGCAAACAGGAGGGACCTGTTAAGGAAAAAAAAAAAAAAAAACAAAACAAGAACCAGCACAAAAACAGGAAGCATCCTTGTTAAGAATTCAGTGAGAAAACGCTCCAGCAAAGTCATCTGAGGTACCCAGAAGCATGTTCAGAGTCTCACTTATGTAAGCACTACAGTAAAGACCCTGAACTTCTCTCAAGCAGTTTAGCTGTGCATCTTCCTCCTGCCTCTGTTCAGACCCAAGGACACACAGGGGAGGACACACAGCCTGTGCATCCCACTGAGCCTGTATTATATACAGTGCCTGTAACAGAATCAGCCCATCCCCATTAAAACAAAACACACACCTCTCCCCCACAAAAAAAAAAAAAAGCCTACTCAGCAAGCAACTGATTCACTCACAGTTTTAGAACACACTAGCAAGGTGTGCAGACAAACTGGCTTAAAATCCTAGTCGTGAAGTTTCTCCCCAGAAATGTGCTTGAAATACCTCTAAGGAAAATACAGCCTATTTGACTGAGTAGACTATTTTAAAGTGAAGTTTTCAAGAGGATTGAGTGAAATGACTTTATAAACCTCCTAACATCTCTTTTCATTTTTAAGCCACGCCAGCCAAAAAAAATATGTGTTTTCTTCAACCAATGCTCTTCGACATCAGTCTATCTCCTACGCTAAAAACAAACGAGGAAACCCCAACTCTTGTACAATTTTAAATCCTCCACACAACTCAAGCCATTACTCCCCTCCCTCACCACCTGCGCTATCAAACTTGTGTCACCAGGTCAAGTTTTGGTGTTTGTGCCAATTCTGTGCAGCTTCACGGACTGAAGAGGCACAGCTGAACTCTACCCATCACTAAACCCTTTGCCAAGCCAAATCAAACAATCGATGTCAATATACCAGATGCATTCTTCCTCCGGTGCTGCACGCGTAGGCGGTACTCTTGTTTGCAGAAAAGCCATCTTCTGGGATCCTGTCACACAGTCGCGGAGTATAACCACTGGCGAAGTTCGTACAGTGGCCATTTGTGAAGCACATGGTGTGCCCGCTTGGATAATGCATTGCACTTCTCCCTTTGTACTGTCCCCCAAGGTGCTGCTCACTTTCAGGGTACTGAGGGCCACCGAGCCCACCAACACAGTGCTCGCTGCTCAAGATGTACTGCTCAGTGTTCTTTGACATTCTCTCCCCACTATGGGACTGCATCATCTCTGATGGGTTTTGGGACTGTTCTTGGTTGTACATGAAAGTGTCTTTGTGGGCCCTAGTAACCATACCAATCACTTCTTCCTTAGCCATGTCAGCACTAGGAGGCGGGGAAGGGCTTTTGATGGTTTCCCGCTCTTGTTTGGGCTTGGAGGAAAGGTCTTCTTGAGGTGTTTGATCTTGATGTTCCGTTAATGCTTCATTGGGTAAGTGACCGCTGAACTGACTGTTCATCATGGTTTTCATGGCACTCTGCATTTCAATCAGCATCCTCTGTTTTTCACGTTTGGGAATACGGCCAAATCGAACAGCTATCAAGTTGGAGAAATGAAAAGTGGGAAAAAAAACTACAAGTGAATCCTGAAAGTATTAGCAGCAGACACAGGCATCAAACCAAAGTGAAAAACTAGCACACAGATACAAAAAATACACCCCAGCCAAAAATCCCACCCTAGTGGGCAGACACTAACCATTCTCACCAATACTACAGGATGGGCATTACCACTGAAATCAAGGAGCTTCCTGGGCACAGGACAGGCATGAGCTATGAATTATATGATGTTGTTTATGCCCAAAGAGAATGCAGGTCTAAAGCTCACGATCTCTAAAACCTTTTCCCCTTTTGCTACAAAACTGACTATGGACTATACACACAGCTATGTTAATTAAGTGTCAGGCTTTAAGACAGGATCACTTAAATCAGTATAACTTTGGGAGCTGGCAATTAGTTGAACTTAAATACAGTTCATATATTTGAATACAAGTCCTACAAGACAACTCCTCATGGACCAATTATATAATGTGCCATAACAATTAGAAGAATCCATGCTGAATGAAGTTTACCTTGGCAAATTTTCCTGATAACTTTGCCTTGACAAGGACATTTTCTGCTGGCAAGGGGTTGGGCATCATTGTGGCTGCAGGCCCTATGACCCTGTCCTAGGGAATCTACAACTGCTTCTACCACCCTCTCCAACCACAGCCTTACAAGGGCTTATAACCAGTTTCGACTGATGTAATTATGCTCACGCAGCAGCCCATCATTAATGTAACTAAATCTCTTTCATTAAAGCAGGTGCAACCTCATGCGCAAACAAGCGCCTAGGGGATGAAATAACTCCTATGCACGACAAGAACTCGGAACAATTATTTAAAATAAGTTTTAACGCTCCACCCACTAAATTAGTAACAGCCCAAGAGTCCTAGTTCTTGTGAAATAAACACCCAGAGAAAATTAAAAAGTGAAACGGAAGAGTTCTGGTTCGTGACAGCACGTGGTAGCAGACCAATGAACTACACTTTCAGCACTACATTTTTTAAGAAGTCACAAGGAGTAGATGTCAGCAAGGGGGGGGGCAGCGATGCAGCTCAATATTACTCTTTCCTCCTTGCCTTCCCCCTTCCCTCAAGAAAAAAAATAAGAGAGCGGATATATGCTCACCTCTTGCACTCAAGCCTAACTCTAGGCTCTACAGTGATTAAGGTTATCAACTTGGGCAGAATTCCATTTCACTGAAAAATCAACCAAACTAAACCAAATGAAAAATAAAAAGACAAGAGTCTTGTTCAGGTTCAGGGATTCAGGCAGGATACAGCTATAAATATTAACTCAATAAAACAAAAATGAGACTCCTGTTCCACCCACCCCATAACAGACCATGGCAGCACGCTGCGCGGCATCGGCCTCCAGAGACGGGAGGAACGCTCTGCACCCAGCGTGACCTTACCAGCTGAGGAGCCGCAGAGCAAGGTGAGCGGATCTAAATGCTCTTGGGCAAGAAACCTCTCCCAACCCTCCCAACAGGGCTGGCTATGCTCTCTGCCGCTGAGACCCTCAGCAACTGGTTTTGAGGTGGGCAGCGCACTCCCGTCTCAGGGGATCGCTGCTCAGTGAGGAACGTACCATCTCTTGACATCCCAACAGAGAGGCATTTTTTGAAACGACACTGCTGGCATCTGTTCCTGTTCATTCTCATTATCGAGCAGTTGTTATTCTTCAAGCACTTCTTATACTGGATGTTTTGCTGAATACTTCTTCTGAAAAAACCCTGTAAACACACACACAAACAAACAAACAACAAAACCCCACAACTATTATTACAGCACATGTCAAATACTTCTGCCAAGGTTCACCTCTCTGCAAGCACAGAAAACCTCAGTGTCTCATCAGCTGCTTCGGGAGCCATCGGTCCCAAGTATTTTGAAGCTGCTGCTCCTCATTATTTACTTCCCTTTTGTGTGTGATCTGTGTATAATACAAACGAGTTATGATTTCTAACTGCAGAATATACTAACAGTAAGCACCTAAGAGCAAAATACGCCCAGTATTACCTCTATCACTGTACTGAAAGGTTATAAGACATGTCCTCAATCTCCTGTAACACCAAGTGCAAAGACAAAAGTCAACATCAGATCATTTGACTTCAATCTCCACAGTCTGGCAACAAAACCATCCTGTTGCACCACATGACCTTCAAAGGCGGATCCTTCACATAACCCTTAAGCTGATAAACTTCTTCACAGAACATAAAATTTGCAGTATCGCAGTATCAGAAAATATAGATCTACTGATGTGTGCATGTGCAATCACCCAGTCCTGGCTTTTCCCATGGTAAAGAATTGCTCCTCCAAAGCTGTTTTGTTGTGTCCCAGCCCAGGTGACGACTCACGCCCACTATCTCTTAATGCAATTAACATTCACATGTCTTGCAATACATGGTCCTCACCACCTCTGTATCCAGTTCTTGTTCCCTGCCGTGCTGTCCAGGTCAGGCAGGCTTGGACAAGGGCAAGAACAGAAAGTAACCCATAGATCTTGGAAAATCCTGTGTGTTGACAAGTAGTCTTGTGTTTTCCTACAACTTCTACACTGTCTGAAATTTCTCAGATTCAACAGACAAGCATACCAGTATTTTTTCAGAAGTACCACCCCTTTTCCCCAATGGGGAGAACTTGAACGCTTCACCAGTAGAAAGGTGAGCAGAAACATAGCTCACCTTGCAGCCCTCACAGGCATGAACACCATAATGAAATCCTGAAGCGACATCTCCACAGACTTTGCAAAGAAGAACCATGCCATTAAATTCTAGAATCAGAACAGAAAAGTCATGGGTATAGAAAACCAATGACAACTGCAGGAACATGTTTCCAGCTTTTAAAACCTGGACTAAAAGCAAAATATGTCACGTCAGCTCAACATACAAAAATATTACAGCAGAGGAACAGACAACACGAATGTGCAAAAACCCTGACCAGTTCAGAAGGTACCAATGCAAGGGAGGGGGGGAAAAAGACAGACATGAAGCACACAACAGAACAGGGAGAAAGCACATATTCACTGGGCTTTCAATCACAGTAGCACTGTATTCAATTGTAGAAAAAGTAAGTCTGCTTACTCTCACACACTTTTAAAAGGACAATTTACTTAACCAGGTCACCAAAGTTTGGGCTTAAGCAGGACAAGTACACCTGTCGAAAGGCTACAGTTTCCCTGACAGAGAATAAACATCTGTTCTTAAAAACAGAAATACTAAAGGACACTTTATTTTATGTTGCAAACAAGCCATACATGCTACCTATTTGGTAACAATTTGGGGCTGGTAACTCATCCACATCTACATATGTAAAGTCTACTCAGTTGAGGGCCTATCCCGAGCCGTATGCTTGCACACCTGAATTTGGAAATACCTTCTATGGTTCAGGTTTTGAAGGTTTTTCTCACATTTTATTTCAGCTTGTCAATAGACTTTTTGCAAGTCCTAAGTGCTGGTCTAACATTGGTTTCACTGAAGCCAATGGGAATTTTACCAGTGACTCCAATAACCACAAAGTTACCTTAACACTGAGCAACAGAGAGTGCTGGAAATACTCCCACAGAACCACATTCCACTAGAAAAATAATTTATTTGACATTTTGGTTTCATTTCTAAAGAGGAATTAAATTTTTTTTTTTTTTTCCAAACCACAAAATTTCCTTCCCCTGCCCCCCTCCCCCTAACAGGACTAGTATTGAACTAAAAATGTTATCTATCTATTTAAACAATTTACATCAGGCTTCATCTTCAGGAACTTCTGCCCCGATGCGAAAAATCTAGCTGCTAGCGATTTTTTAAGAGAAGTAAAGGTTCTTACTAAGTACTTGGAGTAATGACACTTTAAGAAAAGAGACTTTTAAAGCAGAACTCTTAGATACTTGTTCTAGCTTTGTAACAATTCAAAATGATAAAACAATTCTGCCAATAAAAGAATTCAGCTTTCAAAAGACTAGTCTAAATTCCATCTGAGTATTTGTCAAAATCACTCTTCCCACCACTCTCTTTGATTCCTGCCCTTCCAAAACTGTTCAAATACAGTTCATCGTATCACTGGTCATTGATCTTCTCCAATTACCAAAAAAAAGTGTGAAGCAAATACCTGGAGCTAGATCGTTAAATGCATTTTAAAAGGCTATCCTTTAGTTTCAGCTTATGAGTACTTAGTTTTTTACATCCACAATTTAAGACTCGGAACCAAAAAGATAAAGGTCTCAACTACTGCTGTGTAAATATAACGTCTTGGTAACTTATTTTTTTCCTCAAAGAAATTTGAGATGAAGGGGCAGGGGAGGGAATATGAAAAAAAAAACAGACAAATGAGATTTGCAAGGTTGCTCCATAATCACTCCTGAAAGCAGTTTCTGGTTACCATTCCCTTTACTTCATTGCATCTTTTTAAGAGAGTGTTTTTGATTTTTATTAAGATCAGTTTTCACTAGTAAAATCTGAAGTAAAGCTGAGCAGTATTTATGAACTGTTTGAAGTTAGCAGCAATTGGGACCTCTGCCCACTGGCACATGTATGGCAATACCATATGCATTACCACACATATAAGGCAAAAAGAAAAACGGGGGCTTTGCTGTGTGCCTTCCCAGCAAGCCACAGGGAGGACCCGGCCGTAATACGCGGGGTTGTAACATATAAGATGAAAATGGCGTTTCAGGAACTGGCATCAAACCTACTTGTGACTCCATTATGGCCTTTTGTCAAACCACCAACACTTGACTGGTTTGTTTTAATAGTCTCCTCCAGGCGATTGCCCTTCGGTGCCCCGTCAGAGCCCTCGCTGCTTCGGCCGTTGCAGCTTTCCGAGGAGGAGCTGTTTGGAGAAGATGGTACAGGCGAAGAGGACGACTGGAAACCGCTGTCTGAGCTCTCGCTGTGACATGAGGCTGGGCTAGATGCCGAGCTTGAAGAGCTGATGTAAGCTATCACACCCCCTGAGGCAAGAAAAAAAGGCAGCACATAGTGACATAACAAGCAGACATGCACCGCTGCCATGTGAGCCACGCCGTGACCCAGCACCACCAGACCCAGCCATCACGTGTCCCTGGGTGCACTCCTTTCCCTGCCTCCCTCAAGCTTGCTTCTCTCCATTCCTTTTCAATGGCTGACCTCCCACTCTGCCCCATCCCTGTCGCTCATCTTATCAGACTCCTCCGATCCAAGTCAAGATGAAAGGTCAGAACCAAAAGACGGAGCCACATGCCATGGTGCTGGGAGAATGGGGCAGGAGGGAGAGGGCATGGGGCTGCCCATGGAGGGTTTCCTTGGCTGCCCTCCCAGCAGAGCTCATCTGGAGCCACAGCAAAGACAGCATCTCAGAGCGCTGTGGAGCCTGAATGCAAACGAGCCTGGTTAGGGACAGAAATAGGGCAGGGAGAAAGAGTCAGTGCAGGCTACGTGCCAGGCGCACAGAAAGGGCAGTCTGGGAGGTGCTCACGATGCCGAAAGGAAGGGGGCAAGGGGAGGAAAGAGCCCTGCAGCCAGCCAGCCCATGGAACACCATTTGCCCGGCTGCAAGCCTCTGTGGCATTCCAGCACACTCCAACTAAAGTAAACGCCTACTGCCAGGCTGCTATTTGCAAACAGTCTCTGTCCTGCCGCATCTTGCCATCTGACACGCTTGAGAATCCCTCAGATAAAACAGGTTTTTGTCCTCAGGCAGACCTGTGAGCATTTCTGGTTTTTCACAGGCTCCTTCTTCTTGCTTGTAAGCAAGAGACACTGTTTTCACCTCATTTGAGTTTGTCTCCAAGACCCAGCATTTCAAAAGCCAATATAAAAACATTTGATATTTCACACAAAAATTCCAACAGCGAAAGCCATGTCACTGTTTAAATAAACTATCCTCAGTTTCTCCTGTTTTGTGTATGTACTGCTCTGAAAAGTCTCTTCACAAACGGCTCAGGACACTGCAGCAAGGAACTCCAGACACCAGTAGGACATAAAAAGCTCCAAAATGGGCATGCACTGGCTCCTTCTGGAGATGAAAAAGCATTGGTGTCAGCAGAGCCCTCGATGGACTGAGCTGGCACGGCAGGGCAGGGCTGCAGCCCCTCACATCAGCCATCGCCTCCTCACAGAGGAAGGCTGTGGTGCCTACCAGGCAGCAGTGTTACACAACCTTGGGAGCACCGCCGTTTGCAGGAAGAAATTCTGACTTACGAATTTTCATTACTTTCATCAGCTATAACAGTCCTTGTAGCATTTCTCAGGCAGCTCTACTGGCCCATTTCCTCTTTAACATTTAATTTTGTTCTACCAAGGAAACCGCCACCAACACCCTGCCGCGTGTGCAGCCGAGGAGCCCCCAGCAGAGCCACCGCAGAGCAGAAGTCAGATCAAGTGACCGTGTGACACGTGCGCTGCACAGACGGCTTATCACGTTCCTGGACACTGGTGCCCCTTCTCCCCACCACTGCGGTCATTCCCACACAGATTTTTTAAGAAATGCTCTGACAGCGTAGCACATGCTCCGGGTCGGGTTTTTGGAGAAAGGACGACTGTAAGGTTGACACGTGTCCAGCAACGGCACAAGAAAAAGCGACTGCCAAAGGCTTGTGCTGGTGTGAGGTACCACCTATCTGACGGAGGCCCTGCTATCCCCAGCGCTGCACGTGCCTCTGCCAGGTGCCAGGTCAAAGCTCAGAGTCCACCAGGTCCAAGGGAGGCACCCCGTTTCTCCACAGGCGCCATCCTTATCGGCCAGGGGCAGAGCAGGGCACACAAACACGGTCCACATTTCCCCACGCTGCCATCTCACCCCAGTATCTTTAAACCCTGCCTTATAAAATGAGATGCTCTTTTTCCCCAAAGGTAACACCAGCGTCACAGGGGCCCACGGAAAGAGTATGTCCATGGGGGATTTCACCCCTTTTGAAAGCCTGGGGAGCCCCAGATGGCTGAGCTGCTCCCGCACCCTCGAGAGCTCGGCAGTCGTGCCTGTGCCACAGACAAGAGTCGTCTCCCATTTGTGTTATTTCAGAAATTACATCTCCCCAGTTTTGTCTGACCCGCAGTTCGAAGCTGGGTCTCATACGCAGCAACGCAGGGGGACACCTTCAGACAAACACCAGAGACACGGCGGGAGATGTCTGCGCACCCCGGGACCCCGCAGAACGCAGCCCCGGTGCGCAGCGGACAAGGCAACCCCGGACACGCACGGCGGCGGCTTCGCTGAGGGGAGCCGGGCGGAGGGGGTA